GGGAGGTTCGACTTGCCTGAATTTTTCCAACTTAACGTTTTTAAGGCCCTGTCACACTATTGCGTATGAGAGAAAGTATGAGAAGCGTATGAAAATTAATGAAATAATTTTCATATGCACAAAAATCCTTTGAAATGCCAGCGTATGAGTACTGTACATCTGGCGTACCTCTAGCGTATTCAGCGCGTGCCTAGAGTATGCTTATCGTATAAATCATACGTCCGATAAACACAAAATTTTTGAGCATGCTTAAAAAAAATTTTCTGCCTCGCCGTATGTCAGCGTATGCGACCGTGCTTGAAACGTATACAACCTATGCCTAACGTACCCCCAGCGTATGTCAGCGTATACCGGCGTATGAGTGATATTTTTCATACGCTGGCATACGCTAGTACGATACGCAATAGTGTGACAGGGCCTTTACCAGACTTTGCAAAGTGCCTCCATGGTTGGTGCCAAGCTAAATTTTTTGAAAATTTGACTATCCAAAACGGCATGAGTCTTTCCTACAAATATGTTAGCATTGCCTAACAATGAATATAAGTATTATTACTTACAGTTTAATGTTACTGTGAAAATGAAAACATTTTGGAAATGTGGAGTCTCCTTGGTCATGTCTCCCACCTGTCACAACATCTCTCAACATATTTGGTTGGTCGATTGTTAACTCTAGTTCTGATTCAGAGCATAGAGTTCACTTTTTTAGGCCCGAGAATTACCTAAAAATCTATTGGATATCTACCTGAAATAGCTCATGAGCAATTATTAGGGGGTGTTGCACCACCCATTACCATGGTCACTATGGCCCTGCCAAGACCTTTTATTTGGTAATAATTGTTAGCAATTAAAGATATGCTGATACCAATGTGTGACACTTAATATGACATATTTCTACCTGAGGCTCATCATCAGAGTCAATCAAACCCATGTCAACATCTTTTTGTAAAGGGCGGAGATATATTTTGGCACAACCAGCTGCATCTTTCAACCACCTTGCAGTTTGTGGACCACCAATATTAACAAAACCAGAATCATCTCCCCTTTGAAAAAGCAGTATTTCATATCCAGTTTCTTTCAACTTAGGAAATCTTTCCAAAATCTTGTAATGGCATTCCAAGCGGCTCATATCCAGAAAAAATTGGATAGATGCTTCACCAAGGCCAGCATTTAATAAGGCAGTTTTGTCACGTATTTTGCTGGGTGGTTTTGAGGTGGCCATTTCTGACAAAGCAACAAACTTTAAAGTACATGTTGGCTTTCGTTCTTTTCCCTTATTTGACTTTCCATTAGTACATTTCACATTTCTGCCACCAAATGAAAACAGACGCCTATGTTCTTGTGCCTGCCTCATTTGGGTTATATTTGGTTTCAGGATTTTTGAATGAGTAGATGTTGATGGCACATTTGAATGTGTTGATGGACAGCTTGTAACAGCTTGCTGTACTGATGTTCCTGATGAAGTTTGTCTTGATGGTCCAGGAAGAGTCTGCCTTGAGGGTCCTTTATTAATTAAGAATTCATGTTACAGTTAGATAAAGTTTTTTTTTCTAATATTAAATAACCAGAAAATGCAATGACAGTGCAAATTAAAGTGTTGTCACAGTTGTTGACATAACATGCCTCCAAAGTTCTTTTGCAAATTTGCAAAACTGTCCAGGGACCGGTCAATATTGATGGAAGGGGTGAGGGGAATTTTTTCTTTCCCAAATTTTTAAAATTGAAAGCCCCCCCTTAAAAGAGCAGAAATTTAATGGTGACCCCCCTGCATATTAGAATATTTTTCTTTGAGCCCCCTTCCATAAATAATGACCGGTGACCGGTCCCTTACAAATTAACAATTAACTGGGTCAAACAGAGTTAAAAAGCTAAACTATAAACAACATTGTTTAATTATATATATAACTATATAGTTTATATAGTGGGCTATTTAATTTAACTCCTCTCTCCCCCCCCCCCCC